GCCTTTTTTGGCAATCACATAATGGCTGTTTATTGAGGGACCCATGTTTTTGAGGGTCATTCATGTTTCAGTAGAGGGTGCAACAATTATTAATTGTTGGTAAGAGTGGTTCTGTATTTTATAAACTTACGATTATATCCAAGTGATAACATTTGAGCGTATAATAAATTTGGAAAAAATTTTCACTTACTAGAACTAAAAAAGGCAAAGGATCCATTTTTTTTACACGTGCATTACGTAACTATTGATACTACGCGTATGCGAAATCCTCCTATGAACAACGCGTAAACTTTTATCTCTTAATATAAATATAGGTGGTTTTCACGTAAAAAATAGTTCAACTTTCCTCTCTATACCTAAGAAATCCTTTTCCTTTGTTTTCTTGTTTCCTTTTTTTGTTTCTTCGTTTTCCTTTTTGTCCTTTTCTTTTCTTGGGCTAAAAAAAAACCTCTCTGGAGCGAAATCTGAATCTATCCACTTTTTACTCTTTCGTCAAGTCTATGGGCAAGTGACGTTATAGCATTGTATTTCCGGGTTCGTCGTGACTATTGGTGATGGCCTGAGCTGGTGTTGTACTTCTAGTCGGCATACAACCTTGGTACTCTGCCTATGCGTTGCAAAAAAGTCCCTTATTGTTCTTCCTGTGGTGTATAGTACGTTATCCAAGATTCGTCGTGACTAGAGGAATGAATTTATTCGGTGAGCAAAATGAAACTTTGTAATTAGATGGCTAAACGATCCAAGGAACACCACTCCTACGAACACCACTATCACCACCATGACCACCACTTGACCATCACTATCATCGCCACCATCACGACCACCATCAATATCATCACCACTTTCACGAGTAGACCTATGACCCAAAGGTCCATTACCTCTAGTCGGCATACAAATCTGGGAGACCTCTGTCTATACATTGCGAAAAGTCGAGTATTTATATTTGACTTTTTTTTTTTGTTCTTTTTTTTTATCTGGGGAGGTTTTTTTTTTTTGAGAGAGGAACAAAAGAAAGCGTGCGTGAATTATATTTATTAAAGATTTTAATTTGAACTTATTTAATGATTTATTAACTAATTATTTTTATTTCATGCTAAACAACCCAAGGAACACCTTCACGGCCTATAGATCACTGGGTCCTAATTCACAAGATGAATAACCTGCCACCCGGTTCAATTTACAAGAACGGCTGAATAACCTACCACTCGGTTCTTCGACTACGTCCCTTCGATCTTCGATCCGAAAGTCTATTACCTCAAGTGGTATATACTCTATAGAAGTTATTATCTATGGATTGCGACAGTCTCGAGTACTTTATGCGACTTTTTTTTCCGGAGGTTTATTTTTTGAGGGAACACGAGATATTCAATATTCAATATATTAATTTATAAGCCTATTCAATAATTTATTAATATTTTTTAATACTGTAAATATTATTCCTTTTTAAAAAATTATTTATAAATTTTAATATGAAATATGAAATTTTAAAAATGTTTGTAGATATCTAATTAAACGAATAATTAAACATTGATTTTGTACATTTATGCTTGTAATCGTCGACCAGGGCAATGTCAGTTATCAATTCAGGAAAAATGTACAATAGAAAAAAAAGATTACGCGATTTATGAACCAAGATTTCGGAAAAGACCTAATTTTCTGTTCGAAAATATTCTCGTGTAGTTTCTTTGGTTTTTCCATGTAGGCGTAGTTTGATATATTTCCATCGCTATAACATAATACCTGCCGTGAATATTATTATAATTGCAAAGGGAAATGATAAATGACATTAAAGGCAATGAAAAACAATGACATCTATGAATACTACCGAGGCTCTTCAAACGCAAACTGAATTACACAGACTCCGTTAACGCCTACTGATCCTGATCATATACCAATGAGATTTAGATAGAGTCAGTCTTCGATTAAACGAAAGTCCAATAAAGTTCGCTGTAGGAATAATAGCATCATCGATATATCGGAAAAAGCCTTTGCGCCCAAATCAGATATTATTATAAAAGCTTGACAATAATAAGTCCTGCGGACGATTTGGTCTTACTGATTTCAAATTTCCCAAATGGTCTTGAGGTCTGTACGAAATATCACTTGCATTATATTTTATTTACAAAATAAACATTTTTATTTTTACAATGAATGTTTGCAATCACTTTCAGCGAAATAAACGACGATTTGCCAAACATTGATTTGCAGGATTGCCGGAAAATTCTGACAAGATTATTGAAATATCCGCCATCTCAGATCAAAGATGCATCATTATGTCAAATGATTGAAGATGTTCGTACACAAAG